TATATATTAAATATTTTTTCTATTTGAGTATTTAATTGAATTAGTGCTAATTGGTGGTTTATATTCACACACTTAAACTTAAAAATGTAAAGTAATAATAAAATTATTAAAAACAGCAACACGCAAGTTTCTTGCTCGTTCTTCTTGTGATGAGACAGCTTTCCGAACGAGCGGTAGATTAAAAAATGTAATGACTATTCAAAAGTGCTTCAATGTAAGTTTATTTGAATAAATGATTTTCTATTCTATTCTTTCTATTTAACACTTTACATCACCCTTCAAAAGGATGCCATCTTAAATACCTGTCGTACAGTCCGAAAATTTCTCGAAATATTATTATTATAAGGTGTAAAAATTTTCATTTAAAATTTGTTATTTTATTAAACTAATTTTTTTCACAAATTGTTCGTAGCAGTATTATAAGTTACGCTGCTCATTGCCAGACACTTACCAACCCCCCGCCGGAACCCCTAAACTATATTATTTTATAAATATACTTACGTTATTTTATTAAAGGTGAAGTTTATATATATTATTCAGAGAACTATTAAACTGTGTTTCCTTAATTTCCAGACAGTTTTGTTGGTTCATCATCATACCTCACCTTACCTAAGGTGTGTAATTGTATGTTAGGAACAACAATTACAATTACATACCCATAACACAAGATCTATTTAGTTTGGGACTAGATGGCGCTTTGTGGATTCTCCTAGGTTATTATTATAAATTCTAATACTAATTGAACAGAACCAACGGTTTCCGTGTTCTACTCGCTCTTGATCAATTTTATTTTTAGATTAGCTGTATCATTTTTGAAAATAAAAAACTAACTTAAAATACACTTGAAGTTTTTTATCGTGTTTTTTTAATACGGTGCCACACATAATTGATTTTTTATTTAACATAACAAACAACTTCGTCATAACTTGATAGCAAGTCTGTTATATTTTTTTTATACCACGAAGGTACCAATCAAGCCTATTGTTGCATGGATAAGTTAGTATGGAAATTTTTGTAAAATAAAATTTGTTATTTTATTTTACAAAAATTCTACAAAAATTCTCATTTCCCCTCTTAAGGAGAGGAGATGGCAACTTACCCCCAGCAGAAGCACAGTCGGCCGGGGTTCAGGTTATTGTTATTATTATTGTTATCGTTCTTTGTTATTTTGTTATATTGCTTATGTTGAGTAAGTCATATTCTTCGGGTATAGAGGATGTTGCAGATTGACAGTTACTGGCACCCTACATTAATTTGTTATAGAAAAATAAATAGATATGTCAAAATTGTTACAATAAAAATATATGTTGAAAACAGGGTATGTAATATCGTTTTATTAATTTATCTCACCGTCAATATATATATATCTATCTATATATAATTGAGAGACCGTACAAATTATATTTTTAATAAGTAGTGCATGCAATTTCGTTGCAAGTATCTCCATATATTAATGTTAATGAAACGATTAATGATTTTATTAATAAAATTATTGAGAATTAGCATAGAATATTAATAAGAAAAAATACTAATTAATTTATTCCGATTGCATTTTCTAAGATTTAATTAGTATATATGTTCATATTAAACGACATTCTCTATGAAAAGTGTAATCCTTATTCCTACAGCCGTATTTACGTGAAATTTTAACATTTAATTCCTTGAAACTTTAACCTTAACTTCCGATCCATCCCTCATCCGATTCAAATGAGAATCGAAATTACGACGTATTTATCTGAAGTTCGAAACGCTAGCGGTGCCCTCAGACTATGTCATATCCATCAGGCAGGAGTTAGCTTTCAGCTGCTCTATAAGTCCTTCAGCGAGTTTGGAATGGCATATTGCTCGGTGAAGCTGTAAAGTCCAGCTGCGGCCAACAGCAATAGTATATTTAAAAAAAACTTTAACACATAAACAGTAGTAGTAGTTTACAATTTTATTTTATGTAAAGAATAAATAAAGATGTAATAGAAAAAATGTAATGACTATTTTTAGATCAGCTGTATCCCAAATTTCAATACTATTTAATCTTCCTCTACCTCTCCTCCTTCAGGAATCTGACTTTCATTATTGATTTGTATATATATTGTATGTATATGTATTGGTATGTATTTATATATATATATATTATTACGTTATGTAAGTATTATGTTAATCATAATGTACCGCCCACATGAATCTCTGTTTGCCCTATGATTGACTGGGAGAAAATGCCTCTAGGTGTTAAGTCCGCCATGTGCACCTTTATTAATGTATCTGTGCATTAAAGTTTAATAAATAAAAAAAAAAATAAAAAAATATACGCAAAAATTGATAAAAAAGGATGAAGGAACGTTCTTCTGTTTGTAGTCGCTCTCTATACAGTTTTTGAATCACTTTTTAAAATATAATAGAGCCATCTTTTAAATGACCTGATTACTTCTTTTATTAAAATAATTATTTAATATGTTTTACACTTTCAAAAATCCTTTTCAAGATCATATTTCAAAAGTATATGATATCTTTTTCTTCTTTAATTAATTATTTTCATTGCAAATTTTTCGTCCGAATGAACTTGGTGTGTGAACAAAGAGAACTTTCAAGATACAACCGGTAGGTACCTATTACCTACTTAAAGCACGTGTTTGATAATCAACAAAGATCTTTATCTATAATCGCTCGACCGTATTAATATATAAAGCTGGCTAATATACAAAGCGATACGATGCTTTACCAGTGAACATACGGCGTATTAGGAAATAATATCTTTAAAATATCATAATAACATTATGGTTCAGTTTTGCTACTAGTATAGGGTAGTGGGGTACCAGGTAAGATTAAAAGAATGATTATAGGATCATGGCAGTTTACCTATAGTGGCGATTACAGGAATTAATCACAATAGTGAATATTGTTCTGGCTTGCATTTCTTATTCCCAAGTATCCGAATATTAAACCATGCCATCTATGCGCCAATACAAGAAACCTTTTATCCCTCATCGACTCACAGTGGCTCTACACGTCACAGGTGCTTTCAATACGCAATAGAACTTCTTTGCGTCGAGATGCGGTAATGGCGGCAGTATTTCAAATTAAATAACAATATACTAATTTAAATAGCTAATAACAGTTTGTGCTGGGCTAGCCCTTAGGCAGTGATAAGTGTAGTCAAGCTTTGGAAGACAAGCTTCTGCATCAGTTCCAGTAAAATCAAGCCTTCAAGAGATCGCCCCAGCCATCAACTGTGAGTCTTTCCTTATTTCTACGTTATGCAAGCTAGCCATTGTACGCATCCCTACTTAACCTCATCTCAAAACTGAGCTATCTTCTTTTACTTCCTCCTGGTCGGGTTCCAGATTCTAAACGGAGGCAATCCTTTCCAGGCCCGACCAAATATAAATAGTGAGTTCCAGGAGTTTCCAGTTTTACATAAGGCAAATATTTATTAAAACTAATATTACAAATAGTACTAACGCACACTAGAAAAATTGTATATTACAATAGAAAAACTTACCACGAAAATTGTATAGTTAATTCCACTGCGATAAGATTAAATTTTACGATATTTTTTTTAAATTAAGAAAAATTATATTATACGTTTTTTTTTGGAAGTTTAGCCTCAATTAATTAAACAGTTTTTAGAATTAAGTTTAATAAAAAACAGTTATTGTATACTATCATTTTTTAACCATTTATTTTCTTAAGCCATAATCGTAGTTGTTTTTTTCAAATCGAAGAAAAATTATGTTATACGTATCTTTTTGGAAGTTTAGCCTCAATTAATTAAACAGTTTTTAGAATTAAGTTTAATAAAAAACAGTTATTGTATACTATCATTTTTTAAACATTTATTTTCTTAAGCCATAACCGTAGTTGTTTTTTTCAAATCGCAGAAACAAGTCATCTGGTATCCAATCTATATACATTTTATATGTACAGCAAAGCTAATCATATAAATAAATAACCCTGGACAATTACACAGCAACACACCCACAATAAGCACAGCTTGTATTATGGATACTAGACAACTGATGTAAATACTTCGATTTTTTTGTAAATACATACAAAACAAAAACATCAAGACCGATACAAACTATCATACTCTTTAATACAAATGTTCGCACCGTGCGAGAAATCGAATTGAAAGTAAAGCGGTGTACTAAACCTATAGAACACTCATAATCACATTTGCACCTAATTTAAAATTACTTAACTTAAATAAAATTTATTTAGTCATTTATTTTCCATTTAGTTTAAAATTAATTAAGTTGATTTTAAATTCATTCAGTCATGTTTTAAATATAATAGCCTTGTATTTTAACCGCTTCTCTTCTGTGGTGTAATGACTGCTTTAATCAGCTTTATGAAGTCTTTGTTCGCGTGTAATTAATACATTGTGTTTGATGTGAAGCGATGATGTATGCCAATTATTTTGCAGATCCGTTTCTGTTTGTATGTTTTTAAGGTCCTGTATAATAAGACCCAAATGTTGAGAACGCCATGGCCTATTCGTTTAATCGATCGATTTACACCTTAGTAAATCGACCGAATAAGCGACTAGGCCAGTAGGTGACTTAGTAGGTGGATTCAATTCTGGGCAGCATAAAAAAATGTGTGTATCTGTTTATATTTTATATAGCAAAAATTTTGCTAGGCTAGCTGCATGCTACGTACTACTAGCTGAACCCGCAAACGTTGCTGTGCCATATAAATTAAAATCGATATTAAAAAATAGGGATTGTTGATAGAATGATGAACATTTAGGTTTCTGCCACATTATAAAAAAGCATCCCTTATAATCTTATCGCTTAGCGGTATGAAAAATAGATAGTAGCCCTACTGAATATGTATATAAAATTTTATAAAAATCAGTCAAGCCGTTTCGGAGAAGTATGGTAACTAACATTGTGACACGAAAATTTTATATATAAAAAGATATTCAGTACAGCCAGTATATAAATCTTATGTTTTATGCGGATGTACTGAGAATTTTTACTTAATATTATTAAAATATATCTTACCTTTCTTCTACGGTTAAATTGGCCAACTCCGGTATCCAACACCAATGTTGCTCAGGCGCTATGGTCATGAATATTTGTGAAAAATACACAAACGCAACAAAAAATGCAAATGGTATCATTAATAAGAACAAAATCTTTTGATACAGTCCAAATTCTCCTACATACGGCAACAGATCGTCAAAATCTGTCGCCTTTTTATGTTCTTTATCATCATCTCTATTATTATTTGCACTCTGATTATTTATATTATCTGTGGTATCATTAACGTAGCCTTTGTTGATGAAACCTCCCGCCAAATCTATATTTGACAGTTTGTTGTCTATGGTTTCATTTTGGCGGGAATCTTCCTGCTCGCAACAAGGAGTTCGCTCTTGAGGCGCCATCTTGTTTTAAATAGTTCAATATTGCGATGGTGTCTGTTGCATGCTCTTCTGTGTCGGACGTTTCTACCTGTAACAAAAAATATATGATTATATTTCGTACATATTAATTTACTAACGGTGTGAGTTTTTTTCGAACTATTCTAATGCTGTTAGCCGCAGCTGGCCTTTTTATAGAACAACAGGGTAATTTAACGATTACAATTAATTAGGATAACATTACTAAATATTTCCTTTCGGGGTTATTCTTATTTCGGGGATATAGGATAAAGATATAAAAAAATACCCATCTACCACTACATCCAAATTCCTTCAGTCGATTTTACATGAAACGTTATTACAGAAACAGGAAAAGTTTTCTCCAGGTCAAGATTTTATTATATGTAAAGATAATAAAGATTAACCTTTGGCCTATAAACAGTATACACTCTATCCTGAGGAAATAAAAACCATCGCTCCTAAGAATATCCTTCAATTCTGGTCCCTGACGACTCTAGGTAGCGAACTCTAAAAAAAGGCGAGCACAATAGATTTATGCAGGTCGCAGTGCTGCAGATCTAAACAGATGACCATAACCCAAAATGCTCAATAAAAAAAAGACCTTTTGGCCTCCTTGATTCCTACCGTCCAGTTTAGGTAGCTACTTCAGTTAAGAAGAACTGGCAAGAAACTCAACTGGTACATTTATTTCTTTTTTTGTCAATTATATTATATATATTCGAATATATCGAATATATCTGTAAGAAAGAGTAAAAACATGTTCATTTTACCATATTTAAAGAGTATCATATTGTTAGAAGGTTAGAAGATATAAAGACCTAGTATTTTTAAGTGCATTAAAAAGTTATAAACGCTTGCCAAAATGCTAAAACAACAATTTAATTTATTCTGTCCATAATTAATTAAATATATTTAAAAGAGATAAAATAAAAATGATTATAAATCATGTTGTAAACGTAAATGTCAATAGTATAAATGTAAATAATAAATTACATTGGTATGTAATTATAAATAGTGTTAACAGTTAAACAATTCATTTAATAAAGTCAAGGTTCCCCTTTCCTACCGATGATGAACGAAGTTGTAATCCTGCGTTTAACCGACTTGAAAATATGAAGGTTTTTATGGTTTATAAGAATATGGTAATTACAATAAGCCTGTACAATTCACACAGCGCCGTCTGGTACCAAGCTAAGCAGAGCTTGTGTTATGGGTACTAGATAACTCATATATTAATATATATATTTTTTTTAATACATACATTATTATGTTTTGTTTTCTTTGACTATTCACACACGATCTAGACCCAAGTTAAATTAGCTAAAGCTTCCATTATGGCTACTGGACACAGATAACATAATGATAACAAATACAAATAAATAGATTTTTTTTCGTAATAACGTACATATTATACATAGAAAACACCCAGAAATACATAAAAACATACAATACAAACAATAATATACATGAACACAAATGTTTTCATCTAGCGACGAATTGAACCCATGACCATCGGAAATGAGACGGTACGTTAAACCGCTAGACCAGAGAGGCCGTCAAACATAAGATCTACACTAGCTGTAGATCTAACTGTAACCGTTTACCATCAGATGTGCCGTATGCATGTCTGCCACTTACGTAGTATATAAAAAAAACAACAACGAACTAAATATAACAAACAAAAAAAAAACTAATTAATTAACTTATTAAGCGATGTGTTATACTTAATTATCATAATTTTTTTATGCGTGTTACCAATTAGTCGTAAATTTGTTACCGATGTTAATTATATGCAGAGATTTAACCCCGGCCTTCATATTGTACTCAGTTCGGTCTGTGATTTGGTACAGATATATATTTTCTTTATATAAAAAATATATCTTTATTTATATCTACATATGTATATATATGCTTGTGGGGACTCGTCTGTTCAGGTTACGAACACCGATTAGACTATTTGATTTTACAATAGCATAAGCTGGTAGTCAATCTATTCTTCCAAATTTGAATTAAAAAATGAATCTGTATTATTGTAAACATGTACAACATTTATTTGATAAGAATACGAGCTGAGTTTCTTGTTAGTTCTTCCCATCTCGAAATCATTCTGAACTGACGGTAGATTTGACATATCATAATTCTGTAATAAACCTACATGAATAAAAATATTTGGAATTTTTTAATTTTATATATTTACTAGCTGTACACGCGAGTTCATCCTCGTGGAATTTAACTTTATTTTCTAAAATAAAACTTTTTTTCTAAAATAAAATTAGTCTAAGTTACTCCTTATTACATCAGCTACCTACCAAAAAAACTCCCGTCAAAATCGGTCCAGTCATTTCAGAGATTAGCCGGAATAAACAGATTTTTGTTATTTGTGTTATTTTATATTCTAAACAAAAATGTTATTTTGGTGCATGTACCGTATTTATATTCATATATATACATATGTAGTAAAAATTGGTTATTTCAATATTCAGCAAACAGTCACTCTAATTTTATTTATATGTATAGATAATTATTATTAAACTAGCTTTTGCTACGGCTTTGCTCGCAGTATTTAAGTGCCCAGTCACAACTTGAACCACCTAAGGGATTGTTAGGAGCCTTGCAAAAAACTCCTTCTTTCAAAGGACTCTTGAATTCTATTGATGTTATTTTGGGGCTGTTCTAGTATTACGTAAGCAGATTCATTACAATTATTTACCCCCCTCCCCTCTTCCCCCTTGTCAGCAAAAGTAAGCAAAGCTTACCGCCTCCCACTATGCTTACGTAAACATTTTTCAATTAATGTATTGTTTTTTTAGCAAAGTCAATGTGAGGGTTGCCATTCGTAGAAAAAAGTAAATAACTACCGATGACACAATCATCATCTAGTACTCCCCCACCCCCCATGTCATCTAAAATAAGCAAAGCAAAAGACCCCCCGCCCCCCATAGCTTACGTAATACTTAAACGGCCCCTTTGGAGTGGTATGAATCTTAAGGTTTACTCAGGTAGAACACCAGTCGAGAATGAAATCAGGTCAGGTGGGGGCTCCATCTTGGCAAATGGCAACTCACCACGGTTACCAGGGAGAACCGCATGGGGATCAACTGGACACGGTACATTGTTAGTAATGGGGTAATTAACTTTTTAAAAATCCCCGACGTTTGGGGAAACGTTTGGGGATTTAATCAGGTACGATTTCTACTTTTTATTGTGTTCAGGCAAATTCTACGTACTATAAATAGCAACTGTGAAAAAACAGCTTTCTAGGTCCAAGAGTTTAGTCAAAGTCAGGGTTACTCTATAAATAAGATGATATAATTAACTTTTGAATGTTATTTTCATATGTAGTTATCTGAGAATTGGTCGCTAAGTGGCCGGTTTACTCAAGGACCAAGTAGGTACAAATGAGTAGACTTGCGCATTCCGTAACATTTTGCAATAAATTTATTTGCCGTGTATCGACTTGGAATGAATTACAACTACAGCTTCGCAGTGCAACCACAGAATATATAACAGTACTGCGTACCATAAACACATAATGTAAACAAATTTGCATTATTTTGCAGTACTTTATTAATTGGCATTACTACCGCAACACCGAGTACGGCAATGTACCTGTCCCGCCTACACTACAGCACCAAGGAACACATTCCCCTCCAATCGATCCCTCATCCAATTCAAATGGGGATCGATATTACAACGGCCTGAGCCGAGTTTCAAAACCCTAGCCGCCTAACCCGCCTGACGGATACGACTTTAGTCTAAGGGCCCCCCTTAGACTAAAGTCGTATCCGTCAGGCGGGAGTTGGCCTTCAGCCGCTCCATAAGTCCTTCCGCGGATAAGTCATTCCTTGAAGCACCATCTCCACTCGCCTATTATCAATCTACTACACTATCACTTAACAAAACAATAAGACATTGTCGATTACATTCTGACTAAGACTAACTTAAACCTGAGGGTGACGCAGCTGGAATCTATTCATAACGCGAACGCATAATCGCTCCAAAGCGATTGTGGCCCGGATTCCCACCAAATTATAAAAAAATCAAAATAATATGTTAGGGCTGGACAACCATTATCACTTAGGAGAATGAAAAATATATAGTAGCCGATTCTCAGACGTAATGAATATGCATATAAGATCGGACCAACCGTTTCGTAGGAGTGTGGTAACTAACATTATGACACGAGAATTTTTTATATAAGATAATCTAATACAGTGTTAATGAAACAAAATCCATATTAATATCTATTATAAATGGTTGTCAGCCTTTTTGTTATACATGACAGATACCTTGTGATATCTATCATCTTAATAAAGCAAACAAAGTCACAGCATGTAGCTAGTCTTATAGATCACAAACGAATCATTCGGGATTAAAATTGCAAACAAATTAATAGGTTTTATTCTATTAAAATAGAGTTGTAATTAGCTTGTTAATTTACCCCACAACTATTATAATAATTGCAAACTGTTATTAACGAGCGATCGATCACGTTTGAGTTTTATTGCTGCGGGATAGAGTTGAACTTGGCGCGTTTTTTGCCGCTTACGAATTAAGTAGGGTGCATTGACAATGACCCCGTTGTTTAGTCATCACGAAAAGCTAATTGTTCGCATCGTGTTGTAGAAAATTTTAGATATTAATTTGATTTGACAATGTCTATTATTAGAAAATTACATTTCTGATCAACGAGCGAATAATTGAGAATCAATAACTGAATAAATGATTTTTGATATATTTTATTGTAGTTGTTCATGTAGAACATTTTATCCGCTTATGAAGGTATAGTTTTTTGTATTAATATTTGTCCCTACTGACCAGTTCAATATACAGATTGAATTGAGAAGAACTAGCAAGAAATTTAACTGATTTACTTTTTTTAAACCCAGATAAATTTCTTTTTTACGAAATTGGGAATGAAACCTAAATGAAATCTTTATAGCTATCTGTAGTGATATTAAAAAAAGAGTCTGCACATATTCGTATTTCTGTAATAAGTGACGCATGCTTACATACTCATCGAAATTAATTCAAAATTATAATAATTCTGCGAGCATTTTTTTGCTAAAT